ACACACACACACACACACACACACACACACACACACACACACACACAGCGAGACTATACAGCTCGTGTGAATAACAAATAAACCCAGTGGAGCTCTCAAAAGTGCAGCCACAGCATCGGTCTGCGCACTGGAAGCTTTAAAAAGTCTCAATAAATATAGATGAGTCATGCGGGCTCGTGCGTGGCAATTCTATCAGGAGGCCTCCCGTCCCCTTCCGGCACGGCAACATTAAATGCTAATTCAGAACACATGATATTTCAGATAAGCAGCGTGTACATTTAAAGTACCTTCAGTGAGAGAGAAGCAGCTCAGTATTTTGAGGGTACTAGTTACGGCTACTTTTCCTCTAAAGCCCAGTGAGTCTGTACACAGCTGTAAGACGCGTGATGAGAGGGCAAGCGTTGCAATTCCTCCCCATAATCACAGACGCCCTGAGTAACGAGTGTGTGCAATGACTAGCTGCCTTAATTGGCTTAACAAATGCCAAGGCCTGTGTCCAGCAAATGGCCCTGGGGCCTCTTCGCCGGTTGGACTTGCTTCTCCATTGCCTCATTTCAACTACAGGGGCAAAAGGAACAAACCAGGGCACAGTCTTCGCTCATGCTACTCAAGTTTCCTCCAAAGCCAAGTATCTTGGGTTATTCTTAGCATGTTTTTTATTGTACTTAGCTTCAAATAAGTGAAAATTATTAGTTATGCTCTGCTTAATTTTTTTGTTTTTGGTAAATTGGCGTTTATTTCTTGTGTTTTGAACTTAAGCTGACTACAATCATGTCATCTTTACAGGAAGAAAGATGAACCTACTCTAATGTTAACTCTGAGGTTGGTAATCTTAAGAACAAGCGAGAGTAAACTAGATTTTAAAAATCATCCAACAGAGAAAACCCAGGCAAATCTTTTCCAATGACAGTAGTACTAATTATAATCCTACTCATTTTTCAGTTGTTGTACTAGGCAGGGAAACTACTACTGTGGTAATGTGGTTGGACTCTGGTACCCTAGAACAACGTGATATTAAAATTGAGTTAATTCTTACCTGCGGGCAAACTGGAAGTTGGCCGAGGTGCTGGCAGAAACATTTCTGGGGCTTTCTGAAGGGCTGCTGCCAGCTGAAGAAAGAAAACAAACTTTATAAAATGAGCATAAACTAATTTAAAATGTGTATGACTGTGCGTGTGTGGTTAATCATTCCACTAGCTGTCCCCTTGTTTTACATGGTCGGTTTGAAATACACTCTATGATCATTTTGCAACTGATTTTACTTCACAGCTCAACCTGAAACCTTGTTTTTTTAAACTGCAGTAACACACCCACAGAGGTTAACTAGTCCTCCACCCCGCCTAATCAAAGAACCTCAGTTTCAGCAGACAGCCGGGACTCCTGATGTTGATCACACCACTTAAAAGGGTCGCTAAAGGCGTTTTCATGCCAGCAAAGCACTGCCACACCCTGAATCACTTAAAAATAAGGTTAGAGAATGAATGAGTCTCTAATAAAGCACTTCAGGCACCTGGATGAAGGAATGAGACGCATCGAGGAAGCTACATGAAAGATATCATCATGAGGAAAACTATTGTATCTCTTGTGCACATTATGATCCAACCGCAACGGAAACTTGATGAACACACTAGAGGGAAACCAGAGCTAGTTGTGTGACTTAGGCTGAAGGCACATACACTAAACAAAAAAAGCTAATGTGGTGGTCTCATTCCGTCTTCATCGGCTCGTCTTGTTTTCCATGTGATCGGCCGGTCTATGTAAAGTACGCGTTATGAGCCTCTGGTCTAAATGCTAAAACAGTATCGCACACTGAGCCGAGCAGACACGCGAGCATAAACAACATGCAAGTACCTGTGGCAAGTGGGAGAGGTGAAAGAGGCCGGGAGAGCGTGGGCGACGGGGTCCCGACAGCCAAACTCCTTCTCTTGTTGTTACGGGAACTGTGAGGAGCAAAAACAAACAGCAGAGAGAAAGCATTTGCTTATTGCTCGAGGTAATTATAAACACAATCGTCTTTTATCAGGGCAGTAAAAAGTCAGGTAGAATAAAAACAGTCCACCTATGAACTTGAGTTGTTGATCGCGATAAGGAAAACAATGATAAATGTAATGATACTAGTAGTGGTGTTAATACACATACAGTGCATCCGGAAAGTATTCACAGCGCTTCACTTTTTCCACATTTTGTTATGTTACAGCCTTATTCCAAAATGGATTAAATTCATTATTTTCCTCAACATTCTATACACAACAACCCATAATGACAAAGTGAAAATTGTTTTTTTCAAATTTTTGCAAATCTATTAAAATGTACATGTACATAAGTATTCACAGCCTTTGCTCAATACTTTGTTGAAGCACCTTTGGCAGCAATTACAGCCTCAAGTCTTCTTGGGTATGATTCCACAAGCTTGGCACACCTATTTCTGGGCAGTTTCTCCCATTCTTCTTTGCAGAACCTCTCAAGTTCCATCAGGTTGGATGGGGAGCGTCGGTGCACAGCCATTTTCAGATCTCTCCAGAGATGTTCAATCGGGTTCAAGTCAGGGCTCTGGCTGGGCCACTCAAGGACATTCACAGAGTTGTCCCGAAGCCACTCCTTTGTTATCTTGGCTGTGTGATTCGGGTCGTTGTCCTGTTGGAAGATGAACCGTCGCCCCAGTCTGAGGTCCAGAGCGCTCTGGAGCATGTTTTCATCGAGGATGTCTCTGTACATTGCTGCATTCATCTTTCCCTCAATCCTGACTAGTCTCCCAGTTCCTCCCGCTGAAAAACATCCCCACAGCATGATGCTGCCACCACCATGCTTCACTGTAGGGATGGTATTGGCCAGGTGATGAGCAGTGCCTGGTTTCCTCCAGACATGACGCTTGGCATTCAGGCCAAAGAGTTCAATCTTTGTTTCATCAGACCAGAGAATTTTGTTTCTCATGGTCTGAGAGTCCTTCAGGTGCCTTTTTGCAAACTCCAGGCGGGCTGTCATGTGCTTTTACTGAGGAGTGGCTTCCGTCTGGCCACTCTACCAAACAGGCCTGATTTGTGGAGTGCTGCAGAGATGGTTGTCCTTCTGGAAGGTTCTCCTCTCTTCATAGAACAACACTGGAGCTCTGTCAGAGTGACCATAGGGTTCCTGGTCACCTCCCTGACTGAGGCCCTTCTCCCCCGATCGCTCAGTCTGGCTGGGCGGCCAACTCTAGGAAGAGTCCTGGTGGTTCCAAACTTCTTCCATTTCCGGATGATGGAGGCCACTGTGCTCATTGGGACTTTCAATGCTGCAGAAATTTTTCTGTACCCTTCGCCAGATCTGTGCCTCGATACAATTCTGTCTCGGAGGTCTACAGATAATTCCTTGGACTTCATGGCTTGGTTTATGCTCTGATATGCACTGTCAACTGTGGTACCTTATATAGACAGGTGTGTGCCTTTCTAAATCATGTCCAATCAACTGAATTTAGCACAAGTGGACTCCAATCAAGTTGTAGAAACATCTCAAGGATGATCAGTGGAAACAGGATGCACCTGAGCTAAATTTTGAGTGTCATGGCAAAGGCTGTGAATACTTATGTACATGTTATGTTTTCGTTCTTTATTTTTAATAGATTTGCAAAAAACAGTTTTCGCTTTGTCATTATGGGTTGTTGTGTATAGAATGTTGAGGAAAATAATGAATTTAATCCATTTTGGAATAAGGCTGTAACATAACAAAATGTGGAAAAAGTGAAGCGCTGTGAATACTTTCCGGATGCACTGTGAATACTTTCCAGATGCACTGTATACACACATACACACGCATAGCTACAAACATGTGTGCATGTTAACATACAAACACAATGTACAGTGTATTTACATTTGACTAATGTGCAGGAGTTACCAAAACAATGGAAATATACCGACATAAATCAACATCCTGTGAATAATGAGTGTCGTAAAGTATTACATTCACGTATCAACGGTGATCAGATGATGTGTCTCCTGTGTCCGAAGGTATTTTCATGTGAGAATATGGGAAACATCTGGAAAGAGTAGTGACTGTGCCAGTGGGAGCAGCTGATCCTATGAAAACAGCCGTGGCTGGTTGTTATACAAAGAAATGCAAAGAAGTATGTGGACCCAATGACTCGCATGACATAATATGCTATCCACAGCATTAAAGATCCATGACCACAGATAGACAACACAAACCGATCTATAGGCAAGAAAATCAATGACCAGATTGTTTTTTTGGTTCAGCAGTTGTCAAACTTTTTTTTTTTAAAGCACATACAGTATATAGCTGTTGTTTTCCTTCTGCCCTGCTGGTTGCTCCACTTTGTTGGACCAGTTTTGTTCCAAGTGTGGTATATTTTGTTAGAATTCATTACATTGCTACTGCTCAGCTTTTTCTGATGAATGCAAAAAAAAAAAAAAAAAAAAATCAGTCAACTCCTCTTTGGAGCTCCTGTAAAGAAACCTTTTTCTTGGAAAGGTGATGACTGGCAGACCTGTTTAAAAGCTGGCAGATGCTACTAGGTGGCATTTCTCTGAGCATGAGTCACCCACAAAGATGCCAGTGTAATTAGGATGTTGTCACTTTTATTTTCAAATGATACTTTGTCCATTTCCTGTATATGTGTGCATATATGGTGCCTGGAGGTGCTCTGTATGCCGGGTGCTCACCTGAAATGTGCCAAAGTCTTCATATAGAATAGACATCGGGCTCCGTTTTTCATTTATTTTAACATTCCCCACTAAACTGGATATAATCCCATCACGATCTCCATTTCAGCCATCTCTCTTTCTCTCTGGCAATGACCTAAAATAATCGAGGGTCTGAGACAACAACAAAGCCTGACGTTTCTGGGTCGATGCCGAGGCGGATTCAAACAGTATATGGCCCCCAACCCAAATAGACTCAAAGCGGCAGCGACGGCACAGCAACAGGGAGAAGGGAGAGCCAATAAATGCTCGACTTTGGCTTCAACGACACACCAACCACAGGAAGATGCTGTGCATGAGCACCATCTTCTTCTTATGGGGAAATAAATAAACAGACACCCTTTTCATACTATAGAGCCTGGGCAAATTTGGCATGACGCCTCACTTTATCACACCATGACCAACACTTGGCCACTCATATTTGAGACCAACAATAGTGGCTTGTAGGGGCCGTGCAGGCAGCCATGTAGCATGATGAATGTGGGCCACTGAGAAGCAGGCCTGCGTGTTTTACATGGCTGCTGATGGTGAAGGACTGCATTTATTCACTGAGCTCCATTCAAACTCACGCTGTGTTGAATGGGTTAACACGTCTGAACCAAAGCTACATGGAAAAAAGGGGGATAGTGTTTGACACTAGTGGGCAGTTAATGGTGAGCACACATATATTGTGCATACATTTAGAAGATGAGAGGGGTTTCTTAAGATTTAGCTCATTAGCAATCGGTCTTGCAGTGTATGCCATTGACAGCAGCTACAGCAGACTCGCAGTGTACTAGAATCACAACAGAACGACGTTTGCAGTAAAATACTGAGATTATGACTAAGGGAAAATTTAAAATCCATAAATTACCATTAGGTCACAATGAACGCATTGATTGCCAAAGACGCACGGAGTCCCTACAGGACGTTAAAGGCTAATTGTACAGCTCTACTTTGTGAGGGCTGATTACATTTATCTTCGCAGTTAAAAGCACATCTACAACGCTACAGTCCCACACCAGTGTATCGATCCGCACTGGGACTCTATGTCGCTTTATGCGACAGCTGGTAGCAGACAATGCAGTCTAGCCCCCGTACACAACACTCTACAATGGCCACGTTTCTCCGTCAGAAACAAAAACTAGGGCGGATGTAGCAGCAGCCGACACATACAGTAACGTACGGCTACCGCAGACAGCACACAATGGCATGATCAGTCTGAGCTCTGGTTATGTTACCATACACGGTTTGGGGCGCGTTTACGTGCAGTGAATCAATAAGGTAAACATACACGTTCAACACATTGACATTTGTCAACGAAATACAGGCAGCTCGGACGTTGGCGCTGTTGCATACAGCCACAGATTCATTCAGAAATCCTATAATGTTGCCTTTACCTTTTCGACCTTTTCATCATGGCCCCAGTCACAAAACTAGTTTTGTAGCTCGGCAACACGGTCCAATAGTAGTTCTGGTCAGACATGTTGATGGCGGTGACCGATAAATCCAATCCAGATATAAGAATTGTCCTCTTGTTAGAGTGGGAGCATCATGTTGAGCGGTCTCTCTCTGGAGGAGTTGTTACCGTTGATGGTGGTTAGGCCAGTACGCAGTGTACGACTGCTGGGACTCCGTTTAGCTTCGGTACAAACTGACCCCAGACCCGCGGCTCGGCAGCTCGGTGATGATGCGCGTCTGCACTGGCCATGTCCGCCCTGACCCCTTTCTCTCCGTTACCGGCACAATTTCCGAAACAGACCGTCTACCGCGGGATATGACATTATCCAGTGATATCTCAGCCAACATAGACGAGTGATACAAACTTTCCAGTCGCACCAGCAACGCTGTAACGCGCAGCCGCGTCAGCGCGCGACGAAGGGAGGAGGGACTAGTGACACCTTCAAGTACTGCCGGAAACATAGGTGTTAACGACTTGAACGCAAATAAACCCCCTGGTCGAAAAACAGAAAGAAGACTGAGGAATTGTGTATTTCCACCGTTATCGGCATTCAAACGTTTCAAACATATATGAATGTAAAAACGTGTATAGCAAGTTGCATCTAGGATACAATTTCACGAGTATGAAGGATGCATTTTTGTAACCAGGTAATATTGAGATCCTCATGAGATTCTTACATTTAAAAAAAAAATTTGTGATAAAACTGAAATCATATATTTTCTGGGTCACGGTGGCAGCAGACTAAGCAAGGTAGTCCAGATACAATCTCTCCAGCTTGCTTTGGGTCTCCTACCAGTTGGACTTGCCCGGAAAACCTCCTAAGAAATGCACCCAGGAGGCATCCTTATAAGATGCTCGAACCACCTCAACTACTTTTGATGTGAGGGGGCAGGGGCTCCACTCAAGGTCAAGCCAACACAACCACATCATCTGCAAAGAGCAGAGAAGCCAAAACCAGACACTCTTGTATAAGAACGACCCCACACTTCCGTACCCTGGCCCCACAGGACTCTCCGGGGGTTGTATGCCTTCTCCAACCCACAATATATGTGTAGACTAAATGGGCGAACTGCCATGACCCCTCTAATAACCTTCAAGGGTAAAGAGCTTGTCCACTTTTTCATGACCAGGACAGAATCCGCATTGCTCCTCCTGGATTTGTTTGACAATCTGTCAAAGCCTCCTTTCAGGCACCGAAGCATAAGAAACAGAAATTAACAGTTCCACAAGCAGGGCAAATTGTATTACGTGCACATCAGTTTGTGTGCTTAAGTCAAAATGTACACGGTGCATATTCCTTTTTCAAACTAAATTAATAAAAACATTGGGTCAAAAGGGGCCCACGGCTGATTTAGCCCCCTACTGAGTTAATGCAGTCCTGGTAGGCTATTATATACGTTATATAGCAGTTTAATACACCATCCTCAGATCACTTAGATTACTGAACTTTTCCTCAGACACACTACAAGTCCCTACAGAATTTTTGTTCTTAGAGAAACCATTCACCTTTATCAATTACATATATTACTAAATGAAGTAAGCTATTTAAAATCTATTTAATTTTCAAACACTCAGACATACAGAGTGTAACACAGCAATGCTGCCTGCCTTGATACAACTAAAATGACAATTCCCTTGTTTGTTTTGGACACCTTGACTGGCAGAGGAAAGGCTGTCTGTGAGCGGCACAGACATATGTAACGTATTTAATTTTTAAATCCATAACCTGTGATCTGCTGTTATTATTTCCAGTGAATGCAATTATTCCATCTGACTCACATATGGTGAAACTACAGTAGAATGGCGTAGTGTTGTGTCTAAAGACCGGGGGAAATCCCTGAACAGGTTAGAGACAGGGAGGAGATTGACTTTGTGACTGGGGAGCCTCCTATTTGAGCAGGAAACTAACAAGCAAACTTTTTCGTGCTGTTCATGTGTGTCACCCTTCTGTTTACGGAACATGATATGAACTGTCACTTTGTAAAAGTCCCATTAATCATCAAACTATTATTTCTGAATTCTGGGCAGGAATACGTTTAAGAAAACAATGAAATAAACAAACACTACTGAGCAGTTAAGAGCTGGCTCTGCTCAGTTCACATATTTTATGGACACCATTATTAGCTCTGCTGTGACTATTTCAGATATTCAATGTGAATTCACAATAAGCATGATTTGTTTTTAGGCTGTAACATTCATACATACAGTAACTCTTCCACTGTCTTCACATCAGAGAGTTGTGCAAATTATCTCTGTCTCTGCTCTCCTTCTCTAAGTATGTAAAAGCTGTCTGGGCGGTGAGACGGCTCTGCAGATAACCATTTAAAAAGTTCTTGCCTCTCAGGAAAGAGTCAATTAAATACACTGGTGTGAAATGCGGCATGCATGTACAATAAAGCCGACAAGTGACAGGCACCTGGCTGGTCTGCAGGTTTGAGGAGGAGAAAGGGAGGTGTATTATTAAATAATACTTACATATTTCCCCTGCGAGGAAGACTCAGTTCTTTCTAGAAAAGAAAAGATGAGAAATATTGAAATAAGAATATCTTCTTTTTCTTCTTTCTTCTTTTCATTATAACAATCCTTTGAAATGCAGATATAAGCCCTATCGCTGCTTGAGCAGAGAGGGCTATTCATTGTTTGGCTGAAAGACTTCTTCACAAATAAATTGTATTTTCTTAGCAGGGTACAGTTTTAATTTTTAATATCTTTGTATGTGTCAGCTATTATGAAAACTTTACATTAATAAAATGTTTTTAAAAATAAGGCAACAGCAGTTATTCGGATGAATGTTCCTAAATACTAACGCGCCTCCTTCACTCCATCTTCCTTTCAGTGAATCTCATTAGATGCAGTATGGCCTAGTTTCGTGCATGACAAGTGGGTCTTTTAATTGCAAGGATACAAATCCTTACTAGCCCGTGGCTATTGTGCTTGAGCTCAGGCAACTGCAAAACTACTTTTGCCAATCAGGATTTGAAAACTAGGGAAGGGTGCCACTCTGTTAGACTGAGAGAGGACTGGTTACTGTCACAGACACATTTAAAAACAAGGTAAAAACATAAAACGAGGGCAGATAAAAGGTGATTTAATTACTTTAAGCTTCAGCACTAATCAGAACATATCAATTTGTGGACTTAATGAAGTCTTACATGGTGTTTTTTTTCACAACAGTGGATTTAAGGGAGAATAATTTTACCATAACCATCATTATCACACCTTCACATCCTCCACAATATAACAGGGCAAGAAACAATGCAGCGTTTACTACTTCATTTAGGCAAAACAAAAATATATACTGTATATATTAACTAGCAGGAGAGAAAATATTAATTATTACCATTCTGGACTTTCATGAGTAATAAACATGGCACCAGGAGAAGGTTTGTTTTTGCCAATTATACAGTCACCCTTGGGTTTAAGCGCCTATCACCAAGGCAACAGGCTTCACAAAAGAACCATTGGACAGCCCCAAAATAAACACATAAGACCTACATTAACTAATTGCATTATGTGCACCACTTATATGCCACAAATCATGATGTGGCGACCGCTTGTTGCAAAGAATGGACACGAGACATAAAGGGAAAATTATCAGTATAGCTACAGATAATAAACATTTCCAAGCAATGCCATATATTTATCAGGAAGAACAACGAATACATGTCACTCATTTTTACGGATAATTATCGTCGCCAACATCATCATCATCATCATCCTGTTTGCTTGGAAACAGCCACACATCCGAGCTGACATGACCCTCTCCATTTAGCCTACCTGTAGACCGCGACGTCTCAGGATATTCGGCTCATCCATCATTGAAGACGATAAAAAATAAAAAAAAGCGGATCTCCGATCAGTTATCCCATACTGCGCTGGGTCCTCTCCCCAGGAGCATGGATAGAGTGCTCCTCGCTCCTCGCTGCTCGCTGCTGCTCCACCACCACCACCACCCCCCTCCTCCCCGGGGCGAGCTGCACGACCGGCCCCGAAAAAGGTGGCCACTTCGGCCAGCTAATGATGATGATGAGGGGGAGGAAGAGGATGGGTGGGTGGTTAGCTAACCTCGACCTACTAATTAAGTGAGAAGGCGTGTCGACACCACCCTTTTATTGATATTCAGTTGTAAAATGCAAATATAGGTCACAGGTTCTCCTGGGTGTGATTGGCATTTTCAGATCATCAGATACACAAAATACACAAAACATCTCGTCACTTCCTCATCATTTCATGTTCTCTTAAGGTCCCTGGTTCACATTTTGGCAAAGCCTTCAGTCTCATGGATCTTCTTAACAAACCTGACAATGATCAGCAATAACCTGCAACTGTAAAGCTATATCCATGCACTACACCCTCCAGAAACTAATGCAACCTACTTGTTACCATATGTCGTGGTGCATGCAGTTAATCTATGTTCCGCCATCATAAACTAACACAGTGTCTGCCTGGTGGAGACAGAGAGGATGCAGAACAAATGTGCTTTGAAGTCCAGCTGAATAGCAGTGATTGATCTGTCACTCACTGGTACCATGATGTGTTTTCCTTCATATAGAACAATGGTTCGTCTTTTGTTCTGGGATGTCACATGTTATGTGGGCCAGAGGGACGTGAATCCTTCATTGTTCTCTTCTGAAGTTCAATGTTTATCTGAAACTGTTCCAAATGTTGCAAATCAAGCCTCTACAGAGTAAGTGTATTTCACCAATCAAACCAGTTAGATACCAGTGGCTTTTCAAGATTTGTTTCAAGTGACTACTTTGTATGAAATGCATTTCTGACCAAATGTATTTCGTGGTATTTCAGTAGAAAATGATGGTAACAATAATGCTTTGATAAGGGCAAATAATTAAGCTTTGGTCCACTGCAGTGTAGAAGTATCAATAAAATCAATTTACATTTTTAAAATGTGTTCTAAATTTAACCGTGTGTTTAAAATGCATTATGTATTTTTGAATGATTGAAGCTTAATATTTTATAAATGTATCAGTGAATTGACATTTTTTGTTTGGTTGTTTGTTTAAAATGCCTTTTTTTTAACAATGAATTATTGATACCAATACAGTAAAATGTTTTGTCATACATGAAGCAAGCGTGTGTTTTTGTTGTATTAAATTGCCATGCAGAAAATGCTCCATTTGTGGCATTTGTATGATTCATTTTGCTTGTTTCAGATGGATGTTATCGCAAAGTGAGACAAAATAAAAAAATAAAATGTCCATGTGGGACGTCTATCTATAGAGGTTGCTCTTCACCAGACTAATGGTGGAGTTTGCAGCTACAAAAGGAAAGACAGAGTTTCTATGTGTCCTTCTGTCATGCTCCAGCATAGATTGTGTTCAAATTGTCCATGCTCTATTGTGAAACCAGTCAGGCATGAAAGTCAGCCCTCTTTTTACTGCCCTGTTTAACAGTCATGAGTTCCTTTTTACCTTGCATCTCTGATCTTAGCTCACTTATCTGGATTGGAAGGCTGAAAAGTAGAAATAAGAGTTTTCTAACAGTCCAGCTGCTCAGGATGCGGCGACTCATCAGTGAACTGTAAATAAAGAATAAAAGGAAGCAAATGTAATAATACAAATAAAAACATACACAAAACCAACTCTGATTAAAAATACCCCAAGCTTACTGGTGCTTAGCTTTGATCTACAATTTATTTTGATCTATGATCAACAACCACTGTTTGAGGGGTCAAATCACAAACCTGGTCCGACCTACTCGAACTAAATAAGAATCAATCAATCAATCACACTCATACATCTGGCCTTTAACTGAGTTTCTGCAAACAATTGATTTCCTCTTAAATGCTGCCTGAAGACTTCTTCATCTTAGCTCAATATTTTAGATTCATACTAATAATGTGTTTTTCATGCTCCTTACAACAAATAAAGCTGCACTTAGCTTATTGAAGTCTGTACTGCAGCTTTAGGGCCGCTAGAGGACGCAATGGAGCTGTTGGTCTATTTATGTTCACTCTGGAGAGGACAAGTTATCCTCTCTTCTGCTATGTGCACCCTGGGAATGGTTCAGCCCTTCACCAGTCTGAATGCACTATAATTAATAGTAAAGGAAGGAGGAAATGGAGAAAAAAACCGAAAATGATGAAAAAACAAAACAATTAATGAAGTGTATAGTTTAATTCCACATCAAGCTTAATTTCTCCATTATATACCACTAACACATTTATCTACGTTGGCAAAAATAGAAGCAACAAGCAAGTAATGCTAGTGAACTGTTGCAAGTGATATAAACCTTTTATTGCTTGTGACCCCTCAATACAAAGTCATGCTAATTGTGAACCCATGTCACAGATTGCGTGTCTGAGTTGTGAGCAGTTCAAGAAAACCGAGTTTTCAGTTCTTAGATTGTTGCATTTGTATCATTTTTACAGGCCTGGAGAGGTAAAACTAGAAAAAGCAACCAAATAAAAACATAATTTGACATTTTCTTTCATTGGTTTCCATCCTATCATCTGGTTACCTCTTAGTTTCATCTCATACCTCTTAGTTTCACCTCATAACTCATTGCAGGGGTTCAAACCCCCAGGATGCCTTGAGAATAGTGCTTTATCTGGCTTTATGTTTGTAACAGCTAGTGTCTCTGTCTGTTACCAGTGTGCATTATGAAATTCCCCTTCATTGCTCCAAAACCTATCTTTCTCATGGTGTCAGAACAAGTTTTTTCCTCTCTATCCTGCCTATCCTAATAGGAGATGGAGAAATAGCTAGAAAAAGAGAGTGAGAGTCTTAGGTGACAGTTTAAACAACAGTGCCAATTTGCACGAGTCACTTTACACTTTCACACACTTTCAACTTGCAAGGTAGGTTCACCTGCCAAAGCACATGATTGTATCATCACCTCAGTGACTCACTGCTCAGAAATTCACACACATCTTCTTTGGTTCCTTCTCCACATGCTAAAATAATATCCTGGCTTTTAATTTAACAATTTGTTCTTGATGTTGTGACAAGTGCCAGACACTCTGTAGCTCTGGTTGCCAACCTTTTTGGCTTGTGGCCATTTATAGCCCCTTTCAACCCCCCATCACTTTTTACATTATGTCTATGAGCCGTGAGCCAAAGATTTAGTTTCATATAGTCCAAAAGAGGAAGTCTCCAGAATGTCACATATAAAAAGAGACAAGTCAGTAAAAATACCCATACTTTTGTGCAACAGATATGTTTTTTTTTTCATTAGTTCCTTTTTTGTTAGTCATCTCACAAACCCTCACAATTATCTTGAAACACATTGTATTGCATGAGCTTTGAATTATGACATTTAATGTGAATTAAAATTTACATTACCATTCACATTGTACATTTTGTGGCTGTGTGGCATTTACTTTTATTGTTTTATTATAATGTACATATTAGCATTTAATTAGATTTCCATTAAACCTTTAATGACCTAACAGTTTTCCATACATGGTTATTATTCTAAGCTCAAAATTGCCAAAAATGCCCATAAATGCACTTTCATGGATATTTTTTCATGAAATGAGATCTTTATCAGTCAGCAATCACTGTGGCGGGAACGCCCTCGCGTAGAAAGAATAGGGTCAATGACACAGGCTTAATTAAGCAGGGCACTGACCCTATTTAATGATAGAAGTGAGGGTTTTTCCATACTGATAACTGCTTGGCGACGCCCATCGGTGCAGACACCTCTTCAGTCTGTCCCAACAACTGCAACTGAAAGAGCAGGAATGCTGCTCTTTTATCCAACCGTAGAGGACAGATAGCGTCTGAGATCAGAGATGTTTTCAGTCTATTTTAATCATCATAAAAAGAGAGCACATTCACAGGGGCGCTCTATTTCATCGTTGACGAGCTCCTTACATCACATACACGATGTGATTACTGTAATAATAGACTGAGATAGTTGATTCGGAACAGTTCCCTCTTTCAACAGACAACTTCTTTGTTTGTTTATCTGTTTTTTAACCTTGAGGCATTTCCTCTGTGGGCTTATTTCAGGTAGGAGAGGTAATACAGATAATCAACTCTCGCCACCTTTTTCTTTCTTTGTTTATTGTATGTTGTCACAAAAAGCTGATAGAAAAAAAACAAGGCTTGACTGTTCTTCGAGTGGCTTGCTTTCTTTGGCTGTAAGGTAGTCTATAGCATTTGGAGACAGGCCCTCAGGTTTCAGTGTCTAGTCAGCGTGTGAACGAGACTGTAAATGCCTCTATGGTCTGAACCTGTTTCTGACCTCTGACCATACCTGGCAGAGTTTCAAGGGAACAGAGAGACTCAGCCTTACAGGGATCAATACACTATCATATTATCATTATCAACCCTGGCGGAGCTAATGTAATTGCTCATTTTCCTCCTCCTTCAAACTGGTAACTATAAGACATATGGTAATTTATTTGATTAAGTGATGCATAACTGGCAAATCATGGTGGCTTGGCATGCTGAGGTGCACACTGTCTACTTGTGACGTAACCAAATCACATCCAGAACTCCCTTTATTTTATGTCTCTCCTCTCTCTAATCTGGATATCTAAAGGATCTGCTAAAACTGAAAAAAATAACTGAAAAAAAGCTGCTAATGTTGAAATTAATTTCACAGATTTCTTATTTAATAAGTCACATGTTGTTGACACACTGCTGCAAAATGTTGCCACATAATGACATTTGGCCCTTGCTGAGCCCATCAAAGGCTCACCTGACTAACCAGGGGTGTGGCAACACAGAAGCTCTATAAATAAAAGCATGTAAAGAATTTCATTCATAACCCCAGCTGCAGCAGTCTCAAACCAAACCTACCTGTCAGGCTCACCATGCTCAGATCACGCACACTCCACCAACTCCTCTCCTGCATGCTGCTGCTCCTTGTCTCCCTCTCGAGCTCAGGGGAGAGCCGGCCTCACGAGGCCCACAAAGGCACACCTGATGCGCACAGCCAGAGGGTGCTACTTCTGGAGGCGGTGAAGACCGGGATCCTCGGCTCGTTGGGTATGGACAGGGAGCCCAGGCCAACCCGAAAGGCCTCGGAGGAAGAGCTGAGGAGGATGTATCAGCTCTACAGGGAAAAAGTGAGAGAGATGAGAGGAAATTCCAGCCAGCTGATGAAGGAAACCTGGCAATCAACCGTGTCTACTGTGCTCTTTCCAGCTACAGGTGAGATACATTTTTGTTCGACATCGGAAGACACTTAGGCCTAATTTAGTCATTGATGTATAAAGCCAATTTGGAAAGTTAGAGTGGGAGTAGGAAAGAACGTTACATGAATAGTTCAAGTACCTCTGCAGATTCAGACAAAAGGTCTTGTACCAGCGTGCTTTTAGAAACCATGAGCGTGATAGGCACACCTTGTACTTTATGTTACACTTTGAGCACATGTTTTTCCACAGTGTCATCAATGATAAAGCAATCAATGTCAGCATTGGAATTCAAAATAAAACTGTATGATTCATTTTTCCACTCTCAGTTGTTCCACATCATGATGTTGCCCAAATGTCAAATCATTACAGGATGTTGCCAACTTTGGTTCTAATGAAGCTTTTCTTTATATATTTGTTTTCTAGTGGAGTCAATAAAAGTGGTCCGGAGAAGAGAACATCCACATTCAGGTCAACGCATGCAGTGGTACAGAGCTGTTTTCCACAAAAACCCCAATATCCAGACTGAACTGACACTAACTCGGGCTGAGCTGAAGATTTCCAGGCAGATTTTAGATAAACCCACTTCAGTTCTGCCTGGGACAAGACAAGAGATCAAAGTTAAAGTCAAAAGGAGGACACCGATGAACTCTGCTGCATGGACACACATAAACTCTCCAATACGTGCCAATGTGTCAAGCACTCAAGATTTGATGCTGGACATCAGCCCTGAGGTGGAGAGGTGGTTGAAGTCTGATGTTGGAGAGGCACTAGTTGTGGTTGTGGGGATAGCTGTGGGCATAAAAGATGCCCTCAAGGCAAACCCAACCCTTTCTCTGGAATTGGGCCTCAGACAGCCCAAACCGGCCCTGAAGACGAGGCTGCGTCGCTCTAACAAGGAAGACGTCTGCAATGATCAAGGATGGTGCTGCCGGAAGTCTGTCACTGTGTCCTTCAAAGACATCGGCTGGACGGATTGGGTGGTGGCCCCGACTGAGTACACAATGCATTTCTGCGACGGCACCTGCCCCCACAACTACAAGCCTGCGAGCATGCACACGCAGGTGAAGTCTCGGCTGCATCAGATTAACAAAGGAGGGTCACCTCGCCCCTGCTGCGTGCCGGCGGCCTACGAGCCAATGGTCCTAATGCACTATGACAGTAGGGGAAACTTGAAGCTGACTCCTTTCGACGACTTGATTGTCACTAAATGTCACTGTGCCTGAGGAGGTGTGCCTTTTTTAAGTTAAACCTTTGGGAGACAGTAGTCACTAAAAGATGTTACATGCTGATTGTGTTGTCTAAGGAACATTTTTTTCACAGCTGCATAATTATTGTTTTTCACTGGTTAACAAAGTAAAAATTGCAATGATCCACTTTATTTTAAAGAAAATCATGTTACTGCTGCGCAGAGGCACTGTTTTGTTTTGCATTGTGGATCAAGCTGTAGATCTGTTCATTCATGTTTTTAATTTATTTAAAATGTATTTATGGACCTAAACTTATATTTGTGTTTTATTATTGTCGTTGTTTTATGTTACAGCATATTTTAGTACTATTTAATTTGATTGTCATTATTTGAAGTACTGCATTGTTTTATGAGGCACAGGGTTTTAATATTTAGTTTGTTGTCTTATACATTTCAATAATGATATGAAAACATAAATAAATGTTTTGATTTATTCACACTAAACTGTTGCACTTGAATATACCAACTTGTACATTTCATAATAAACACACGAGCATGATACGTTCTCATATTTGTCATCTATCCAAAGACATCAGCCACTGTATATTACAAAGGTCACGGTGTGACAGAGAAATCCGCCTGTAAAGATATGACAACTTCTATCTCTCATTAAAGACCTTGAAGTTGTGCTCACTGTGGCCTTGACCAGCTGGTGAAGGAACACATCATTGGTTTAATTTGAAAGGGAAAATAGGAAAAGCTGCTTGCTGTGTAAACTCCAGACTGCTCAGATTACATATCAATAACGATACTGTAAATGCAATTTTCATTACAGATTATCAAAGCTTCTTTGATAATATTTACTTTCAAGTGCTGTTGAGATAAGTTACTAGAAAAAGAACAAACGATCATGTGCAATATCCTACGATAAGTATGATTGCCAAGACAAGAAAAAATAATTCACATTAGAAAAAATTGCTCATAAGTGGAGCTCAAAATGTGCCAAAGTGCAGCTCAAGATTTTGGGCAATACACAGAGCACCATGATGAGAAGTGTGCTATTGAGTGAGGGAACTGAAGTGAAAGGAAATTAGTGAAAAAGCTCCTCTGAAATACTTCTAGTTGAATTATTCCAAGTTGGGTAAAGGTCACTTGAATATGAGCATGTGTTGTTTTACAATTAATAAAGTAGATGCATTAAAGAGTGGGGCGTATTGAGTGACCCTGGACGACTGAATAAATAGGCAGACCAATAAATAGGTGATTAATCACAGCTGCAGACACAAGTGCTAGCTGTAGTTACACTTTTCTTCTGGTAAATTCAGACCTGTGCCGAGAAACTGCTCACTCACTTCTTTGTTTTTGTCCTGTTACTATTTGTTTCAGGGATGACACCCTCAGTTATTACACAACTGTGGGATGATGTAAAGGTCCTCAATCTTAGATTCTGAAAGGTCCTGAGTTGCAGTATACACCCAAAGTATACAAGTATAAAAGAAATAGGGACAGTATTTATCAAGGAGCTTCTGTGTCTGACAGCATGTACTCATTAGCCGCTATTTGGCTTTAATCATCACGCAGCCTTACCGGAAAACTATTGCTGAAATGATTCCAGAATGACAGGAAACCAAAATAATAAAAGAAAAGCAAAGAAAATGTCATGGCCCGTAAACCTCCCCGTCAGTCTCTGGTCATCACCCATCCAGAGAAGCACAACCTCTCGTTTTGTAACATTTGGACAAAGCTTTATCTCTCTTCCCCCTTAAGATCTTTTCAGGAAAGAGACGGTAACGGTTTTCACATCCTGTCTACAAGTCAGTTCTCAGAAACGGATGGACGCAAAACACACAAAGTGGTGCTGATATCGGATGTTTTACAAGTCATGATGGTGACTTTGTTAAACATGTTGCAATTGTTTTTGGCACATAGTACATATAACAACGTGGATTTTTGTGTACATGTTGTTTGCATTTACAGTATTTTATTGAAAGTAATTTTAAGTGAACAAGTAGATTATTTTTCTCACATTTTTCTAAAACCTATAGGCACAATGTTCTGTGTGTGTGGCTATTAGTTAAAGCCTAGATGAACATGACAGTTGAAATTAAAATGCACTTGGAAAATGTTCTAAATATTGTGTTATTTGTGTTTCATTTTCATAATCTAATTATCATAATAACACAACCCTCACAAATAGTCCATAACTATTCTGTAATTCTACTAAATGTATATAATTTGTGTTGTGGCTGGTAATAACCATTAGGAACATTTCTAATGAGAGCAAATCAAGTTTCAATGATCAAACAGAATAATTTAATTCCAACAACTTTTAAAATATTAAAAATGTGCTCGTGGAAGAAGCATATTGGCCACATAAAGGAGATCTGTCGCTTTTCTACAAAACATAATGAATACTACATAATCTTAAATGTACACAAATTCACCTACTTAGACATGCATGCATATTGAGCATTTCATATTCACATATACCCCTTCATTTTTCAATGCATCAAAAAAGTCATTTGTTTTTTATAGATTTATTTATTTATATATTTATCTGTTAACTAGGAAAATAACTCAAGTTAAATATGAATTGTCTATGCAGCTAGAATGTTTCTCAGGGCAAATGCAAAATTGCTGATACAAAAAAAGGACAGCAGAATACATGCATGGCTTTACTACACACGTGTGAATCGGTAATTCAGGAAGTATCAATAGATCAACCCATATAAAAAACATTATTAACTTGGATTGTTGTCAAGATGTGGTAATTTGCAGTACAGTGCATTGAATATAACTGTGCCAAAAACAGGAGCAACAAAAGATCACAGTAAGCAGAATATACAGAACAGTTTATGCATGTAATCCCATTTACACTTATTAAACAATAAGATATAGCGATAAAATAATCTGTATAATATCCATATGCTCCAGGAAATACAGTATTTTTTGTTTTGTTTACAGGTCAGCTCTATCAAAAAGCAGCAGCACCTTTTTTTGCCTTGTAACAATGCACATTTATAGCATAAGCAATGAATAGCGATGTGTCCTATGAATCTGGCACAATATACACATCTTCTTCTTGGGAGTCTGGGAGGATGGAGAGGTTACACGCCGGATCATTGCCGTATATTGCATCATCTGGTGAATCACACTGCAAGTACACATCCTCTTCAGTTTCACTGGGCAACCTGCAGAGAAGCAATTAAGTGTAGCAGATAATGGAGGACTTTTTCTGATGTAAAAACCATTGTGACACAAGGCAAATATTAAGGAAACTGTGTGCATTTCTTCTCCCGGTTTCTATTCTTGCGCAGACAAAAAAAACCCCACACTGAGTCATCAGCTGGCATGTTTGATTAATTGATTCTAAAACATAGGAAACAACAGGGGAAGAGATCACATCAAGACGCCAGCCAAATTGTGTGCATATATAACATCATGATTGTGCAAAATGGGGAAATTCAAACCAACGACAGATGTTTCTTCATCGGTTTCCGTTCTGATCTCTTTTAGGACCGTAGCAGTTTCATGTCATTTCAGCCTCAACATTTCCTCTAAAACTCTAAGACTTAAAATATGAAAATACTTCAAGCACAGCTTACCTGTTTAAAGCAGGCCTGTTGTATCCAGTCTTTCGAGTTGTCAGGTTTTCATAAATAGGGTTCTGTCCTGTTGACTGTTCACTGATCGTACTGACGTACTGATGGGAATCCTGTGGTGGTGTCTCTGTGTAGTCCTGCTTTTTTTTGTGGCTTCTCCTTTGTCCAAACTGCAACATACTCCTCATTTTACTGTGGTATTTGTACACGATCGCACCAGCTATGCTCAGTAGCAGTATAAAGAAGAATGTCAGCCCAAGAGCCAGACCTGTACTGGAGCTGCTGGGGGCCGAACATGTGGCGGTGTCATTTCCATGGACACAAGTGTTGTTGACAATCATGATCTGCAAGTATGAAAGTTAAGGAATGAAACTGAGTGAGTGCATGGCATTGCTCAAACTATCATACTGTATATAGTCATTTGAAAGAATAAACATTTCTTGAAAATCTACTAAAATTTTTTTTGTCGGTTATTATTGTTTATTTAAAAAGAAAAAAACTTTACATTGTCATGAAGTCTTATTACAGGAAAATAGAAAAACGAATTAAAATAATTCAATTCAGTCAACAATGATTAACTTCTCAATACACTCCAGGAAATGCTGTAAAAAACATGTATTGTAAGCCAAGTCAAACATTCTTCTGTCCAAGTGTACACAAATAAAATCATTGAACGTACCATACAAGGCTTCAACGTTATGCGTCCAGGTCTGGGTCGAGAGTGAACTCATGTAGTTCGTCTTTAACACTTACACTCGCAACAGTGGAGTTCCCTTTTTGTTAAATCGTGGAAATGGACAATGAAAGCGCTAAAACCAGAAGATTTCCTGTAAAAGCTCTTTCTGAAAATAGACAGCTGCTGACAGGAGCTGAATTACTATTATATTAAATCTGATGACTCTATAGATATGTTTCCCCTCTGACTATAGTTAAAAGCTCTTGTAGCTGCCTTCAAGTTAAGTGATGAATGTAATTTTTTATTTATTTTTATTTTATGTTATGATTATTCATATTATTTTTTTTTATTATTATTTTTCTATTTTATTTCATTCATTCTGCGGTTTTATTTATTATTTTCACGGTTATTTATCTTTTTCTTTTTTTTTTTTTTTTTTTTTGCAGTCTGACAAGCCTCAAACACATGGATTGATTAACTGATTGATTATAGAAAGTGACACTTCACCAGCAGAGGAGGAGTAATCCAAATAAATAAATAAATATTTGCAGTTAAATCGCAGCTAAATGAGTTTATTTCGTGTCCGTACAGCTGTAGTAAACCAGCTCGACACAGTGAACACTCCTCGATGAATTGGTGTGAAGGCATCTTAACTTCTGTCGTTGTGGTTCATTTTGAAAGCGACGATAATCGCTCAGACAGTAGATCAGCTGTAGCCAGTTGGTTGCACCGCCGTTGCCTATAGCAAAGGTTGCTTGGGAGTTGTTTGTCTTCAGCTGGGCTCATGTGTGACTTCATGGCTTTCATCCTTTCAACTCTATAAGTAGGACACA